TTTAAAAAACCTCTAAAAATATTTTAAAACTGACAAAAATTAGATTTTTGAAACAAATTGACCTTTTTTATATTTCATCATTTTTTTATACTTTGAACTTTTCTGAAAATTTTGAACTTTTTTCAAAGCAATCGGGCTGCTGGGCTGTTTTAAAAAAGAAATATCGAAGCGCTTAAGCATCGCAGTCTAACGGATAAATTTTGGTACGTAACCCATAGAAATGTAAACAAAATTCCTACTTATATTTAAAATCTCTATACTAGTGATATATGGCATCGTACCTTAAGGCAAATTGCTGGAACTTCCCGTACCGTAACAAAATGATCAAGGAATATTAAATATTTTCAAATAAATGATTATAAAAGTATTATTATAAACTGTAACACTTTCTCATATTTATAAGAATTATATAAACTGAATTACAAAGTTAAAGAATTAAAATTAAAATCTAAATTATTTTTGATGCACAAAAAAATTTTTTTTGGAAAAAAAATAGGAATGAAAAAAATTTTTACAATTATTTTGCCAACACAAGCAGCATGTTTTTAGATCATTCAAATTGGATACTCTGTTCTCTCAAAAACTTCTTTTCTATTTTCTGCACTCTTTGATCCGTATCTCTGTAACGGCTGGACCTGCCTTTGTCAACACCTAATCAGCAAATCTCGCTATCAATAGAAAACGATTGCTTTTTGAATTTTTCAAATCAGCTCATCCATACGCTCAAAATCGTCGACGAAAAATTGTCTCCACACATATACACATACACATTTTTTCTGAGGTATGCCAAAATGTTCAGAAACCTCTAAAACATATAGATATGCAAAAATTTTAATTATTGATTTTTGGCCTATTACTATAACTAATGCTGCGGGAAATGAATTAAACCTAACAGGAATAACCAAATTGTTATGTAAGTAATGACTCTAGTAGGTATATAAATTATTAAGAGACCTAAAACGTGTTAGAATTATTATAATCATCATCATCACTGCAATGATATGTTAATACCACCATTAACGAATAGTGGTTTCTATTTAGTTTTTATATATTCCACATTGTTCATAATTCAAACAAAAACAAATAAATTAATAGTTAACAGCAATTAACCACAAAGACTTTCGCATAATTAAGTTTTTTAGTAGTTTTTTGAAGCTTGTATGATTTTGTGAGTTATATATAACATATTATACAATTCACAAATTATCAGCCGATTCTGCTGCAAAATAAACCAATGCTCTGGCAAGGCTATGTTACGTAGCGCTACGCTCGTACGTTCATATAAAATGGTACTAAAAGCTGTCGAACGCTATGTGGTGCTCTGCAGTCAGGCGTTTTAAATAGAAAACCTAACCTAGACAACGCACAAAGGCAAAAAAGGACAATGTGATCATAACTGGATCTTTGTGGTGTCGTACCATAACGTAAAGAGTGAAGTTGCATTTTAAGTGAAAAACGCCTGAACGCACAAACATAACATTTTGACAGTTTTTAGTACTATTTTATTTGAGCGTACCACATTTATTAACTAACTAAAAATATTTATTACTTACTAGCTGTACACGTTCACGCTTCGCCGAGTTTTAGTTTAAATTAAAAAGTTGAACAAAAATGTACATTTGTTGCCAAAATGTACATCTAGTCTACCAGTTTTCTTGTATTCCAGTCTGCCGGTATAGATTACTATCAGTCTACCTCATGTTCTTCTCAGTTTACCTGTCTTCTTGTTTGTCAGTCAACCAATTCACTAGTCTAATTTACCTGCCCACCTGTCAACCTGTTTATCAGTCTATATATTTAGTTATCCAATAATTAACACGTTCAACAATTTACCTATTTAACAATTCACAAATTCAACAATTTACCAATTGTCCTGTCTTCCGATTTACATATCCTCCAATTTACCAGACCTCCAGTATACCTATCTACCAATTTACCAGTCTACCTGTTTATCTGTCTACGTATCTATCTATCTATCTACCTGTTTATCTGATTACCAAACTGTCTATCTGCCTACCAATTTAGCGGTCCAACAATATATCTTTTCACTGATTTAGCTGTCTACCTATTCACCTGTCTGTCAATTTACCTGTCTACTAATTTACAAATCAACCTGTTCATCAATACACCATTTTACCTGTGTACCAATTTACCTGTTATCCCGTTGTATGTGTCTACCAAATAACCTGTTTACAAATTTACCTGTCATCCCGTTTTACATGTCTCCAATTAACCTGCAAACCTATTTATCTGTCTACATATATTCGTATATCTATCAGTTGTTATGTCTACCAGTTTACATATCTTCCAATTTACCCGTCCATCAGTTTACCTATCTTCCAATATACCTGTCTACTTGATCATCTGTCTACGTATATATCATCTACCTATTTATCTGTTTAGCTGTTTACCTGTCTGCCAGTTTACCTGTCCACCAATATACCTATCCACCATGTTATCATGTTTATTAGTTTACCTAACCAATTTACCTGTTCAATAATTTATTTATTTATTTATGTTCAAGACAGTATAACTTAAAGTCAAATTGGACATTTGTGCTACGATCTACCCTATACACAAAGTTTGACTATATCTTATCTGCACTTATTTGTATCGACTAGTAGAGGATATATAAATAAAGGGTCTGGGCGTGTTTCCATACAGAATTGGCCCCACCCTGGTATTTAAATTATTTTGATGCCATTTTATAGGTATTTTCGAGAAAATTCAATATACCAAATTTCAAATCCGTAGCTCATCATTTGGCCGAGATATCAGTGAAAACATGTGAAAGTGGCCCCTTTTTTCAAACTCACTTTTTGTCGGAAAATATGAGAGATATCGAAAAACTGTTTACGTCATTCTATTTGTACTGATCTTGTTTATATTATTTAGAATGAATAATGTTAAAAAATTATCATTTACTGGATGAAAAGTTGAAAATAAGTTTTTATTTGAAATTTTCGACCAGTACGGTTAATTTGACTACTTTCTAAATAACATCATTTTAAAGCCTGTATATTTTACTTTTATTATCCAAAATTATATTTAAATCGAAGTGGAACTTTTTATAAAAAGTTGAAAAAAACGAAGGTAGTACACGCGGAACCCGTAGAATATCCGTGTAAGTAGCGTCTCTCAATAGCAAACCAGTGCACATTGCGCTTAGCGCGAATCGGAACATATTCTATATAAAGGTAATACTTATTTAAAAAATAAAACTAGATATATACATTTATGTCTTTTATATTCATATAATTATGTATATAATTATTGTGGTTATATATTTATATACAATGTTTTTTTGTTTTGAAATTATACCTAAAACTTTATTTGCTTTTTATATTTTATATTTTATATTGTTACTGTATATTATTTTATAACGATAGAAAATACATAAATAAATAGTCACTATATTTACCATAGTAATATGGAAGTTAAGTTACGAAGTTATTAAGACACTTTTAATCGTAGTCGCTATCATTGTTAATAGAAACTGTAGTTCTTTCTGTTATAAATATTATGTCTTTTATATTTATATTTTGTGTATACAAAATAAAGATGCATTCAACCATTCACTCACAATAAAAACTAAATATACAATTATTCTTTGAATAACAATTGGAATATTGAGATAAAAATACGTTCTTTACTCTGTCATATCTTTATCGATACTGCAATAATACAAAGATAGAAGAATGTAATATAAAAAATTCTTAGTAATTTGAAATGCTCTAGCTTTGTTACTAAATTTTATTTTAAAAAATGCATCAGTTTGTGTTTAAGCTGCTTCCAGTATAGTTACCTCAAGAATTTATAATATATCAGAAAATATAATGTTTCGGTAATTACTATCATAGATTTCACAGTTATTTTATTTTAGTTGTTTGCTTTTTTGTGTTCTGTGTGAAATCTGTATTTAGATTTTTTCTGATTCAAATCCATTGTTATTTTAGTGAGAGCTTTGGTGGTTTAGTGGGTATTTTAGTTATTTCATAATTATAAACTTAATAGAAACAATAATGCCGGAAAATTGCAAAATCTGCATTAAACAAGTGTTTAAAAAGTTTCTATTAACAATGTTAATAACAAGTTAAACAGTTTCTATTAACGATGATAGCGACTACGATTAAAAGTGTCTTAATAACTTCGTAACTTAACTTCCATATTACTATGGTAAATATAGTGACTATTTATTTATGTATTTCTATCGTTATAAAATAATATACAGTAACAATATAAAATATAAAATATAAAAAGCAAATAAAGTTTTAGGTATAATTTCAAAACAAAAAAACATTGTATATAAATATATAACCACAATAATTATATACATAATTATATGAATATAAAAGACATAAATGTATATATCTAGTTTTATTTTTTAAATAAGTATTACCTTTATATAGAATATGTTCCGATTCGCGCTAAGCGCAATGTGCACTGGTTTGCTATTGAGAGACGCTACTTACACGGATATTCTACGGGTTCCGCGTGTACTACCTTCGTTTTTTTCAACTTTTTATAAAAAGTTCCACTTCGATTTAAATATAATTTTGGATAATAAAAGTAAAATATACAGGCTTTAAAATGATGTTATTTAGAAAGTAGTCAAATTAACCGTACTGGTCGAAAATTTCAAATAAAAACTTATTTTCAACTTTTCATCCAGTAAATGATAATTTTTTAACATTATTCATTCTAAATAATATAAACAAGATCAGTACAAATAGAATGACGTAAACAGTTTTTCGATATCTCTCATATTTCCGACAAAAAGTGAGTTTGAAAAAAGGGGCCACTTTCACATGTTTTCACTGATATCTCGGCCAAATGATGAGCTACGGATTTGAAATTTGGTATATCGAATTTTCTCGAAAATACCTATAAAATGGCATCAAAATAATTTAAATACCAGGGTGGGGCCAATTCTGTATGGAAACACGCCCATACCCTTTATATCCTTTATTAATGCATTAAAATATATTTCATTGAATTAGGCCCAGCATACCTTACGACTACTGCTTCTCCAGTAGGCGACAATGTCGGAAGTAAAATAAACTACGGACTCACCGCACTGGTGAATGAAGAAGCTGATACATTTAGTCTCGAGACATCACCAAGCGAACAGAAACATCATTCTCGAATTCAAATAAAAAAGGGACCTAACGGTCAAGACTATGAGTACGAGTACGTTTATTACTACTACGACGAAGACGACCCGACAAAAACTGACCCTGTAGATGATTCGGGTAATAATAATTACAAATATCTCACAACTGCACATAAATAAATCTTTGAAATTTGTTTTCAAGCACCTTAAATGATTAGAATAATTACAAGCGGCTTTAGTTACTTTGACCTATAATACAACATAGACAAAATAAATTATAAACATGATAATTTCGAAATATGTCGTCATGAAAAAACTACAGCAGCATTACTCGTTTTTCATCTCATTCACTTTTTCTTTCGGAAATATAATAATGTTTCATAAACATAAATAATGCAAAAGTGTTAAATTACTTCACCTTACTTAAATTACTACATTATAATCGTCAAAGTAAAGTTTGAAACTAATTAAAAATGTATTAGATTCTAGAAGTAAATATTCAGTAGAACTATCCAATGTTGATAAATATATTTATCAAACATTATATAATTTAGTATGGAATAATTAATTTTGATAGTCAATAAGTCGGAGAATAATAATTTATATTTAGAATCCTAAACTTTTTTATATTCTCCCAGATAAGAAGCCTGTAAATTCTGAAACTGAAAATAACACCCTGCAGCAAGAAGCTAGTGCCAGCAAAACAAGAAACCGATATAGCAGTATAGAAAGAAATTCTCCTGCATCAAATGTTCAAGAACATAATGAAGTCATACCAGATGGTCGATCTGGCGGAAGATCGAGAAGCAGGCAATCGGCTGAAGAAGAGGTAATACATTCATTCACAATGTATATAACTTGTCAAGTGAATACTAGCAGTATTATAAACGTTCAACTATAATTGCGCACAATATTAATATTATTAATTCTCTTAGAAGTGCACTTGCTAAGTTGGATAGAATAAGTTATAAATTTCAGTTGCAAACCACTATCAAAGAGTGCGATTTTGCGAATATTTACGAACAAACTTTAAAGATATAGTAGAAAGGATGAAGACGGCCGGTTAGCAACAACTTGTTATCAAAAAATATGCATATTAATAAACTGTGGCATTGCGTATTATTATTGAACATTTTTATAACAACATCTCAGTAGTTATGAAAAATATTACATATCTTCCTTCCATAATTATCCAAAAAATATCTTCTTTTTCAATTTTTCGGGATTTCAAATTTCTTACATCTTTTTTCCATAATATCTTCTTTCCATAATTTTCCAAAGATATCAAATTTTGCAAATGTCAGAAGATTTCATACAACATACAATTACAAATTAAATATTCCAAATTGTTAGATCACGGCATATTATTTTGGTATTTTAAAATTGGTCTGAAATGCAAATAAAGCGTTAACTGCGGGTGTCGTCAACGCATCAAAATCTCCTTCTCTTTTCCTGGTGCAGCAGTCGACACACTGTCGGCAGAGCCAAATTGATACCCACATTATCGGCATATTAGTAGTGTTAGAACGATAGTATCGATACTGAATAAGTATCGATACTGAGTAAGTATCGATACTTTGACTTCGATACTGAGTACTTTTGGAATCGATACTTCGGGCCGATTCTTTTGGCGGTGTCGATATTTTGCGCCGATTCTACTCAAAAAGTATCGGCTATATTTTTTGACCCCACCAAAAGTTCGACCGCATTTTATGAACACCACTCATTCTCTTTTGTCGCTCTTCACAGATAACAAACGAAACAAGCGATAAGTCGAGTGCGATGTGGTTTTTGTTAAAGAATATGAATGCCCCCAGTTCGAAGCCACTGATTAACAATAAATAAAAGAATTAGAGTTCAAGATTACTGTATGTCCATAATATAATTTCTGTTACTTCCGAGAACATATGTTTATCAAGGATAATAAGTTTTGTATATTTTATGGAAAAATCTTGTCTGCGAAATTGCCGCGGCGTAAATGAATACTTTCGTTACAAAACAATACTATTATTTAATTATTGAGTATTTTTTCTTTTGAAATAAATTAGCCGATACTAAATTCATAAATGTATACTTTTGTCACAAAACGATACTATTTTCTAATTAATGAGTATTTTTCCTTTTGAAATAAATTAGCCGATACTAAATTCATAAATGAATACTTTCGTCACAAAACGATACTATTTTCTAATAATTTAGCCGACACTAATATTATAAATGAATACTTTCGTCACAAAACGATACTGTTATTTAAATATTGAGAATTTTTTCTTTTGAAATAAATTAGCCGATACTAAATTCATAAATGAATACTTTCGTCACAAAACGATACTATTTTCTAATTAATGAGTATTTTTCCTTTTGAAATAAATTAGCCAACACTAATATTATAAATGAATACTTTCGTCACAAAACGATACTGTTATTTAATTATTGAGTATTTTTTCTCTTGAAATAAATTAGCCAATACTAAATTCATAACTGAATACTTTCGTCGCAAAACGATACTATTTTCTAATTATTGAGTATTTTTCCTTTTGAAATAAATTAGCCGATACTAAATTCATAAATGAATACTTTCGTCACAAAACGATACTATTTTCTAATTAATGAGTATTTTTCCTTTTGAAATAAATTAGCCGACACTAATATTATAAATGAATACTTTCGTCACAAAACGATACTGTTATTTAATTATTGAGTATTTTTTCTCTTGAAATAAATTAGCCAATACTAAATTCATAAATGAATACTTTCGTCACAAAACGATACTATTTTCTAATTATTGAATATTTTTCTTTTTGATATAAATCGAATTTGAAATTAGTATCGAAAAATTATTGTTTTAAACTTCTCAAAATATTGAAAATGACGCTGATTTAAAAGCATCAAATACAAGCAATAGAATTTATCATAATATTGGAATTCGATCTGTAGAGAATTTTAGATCTCTCTTGCACTTATGTTTAATTTTGGTGAAAAGTACTCATTATTCGATACTGAGTAGTATCGATACTTTTGCCGCGATTCTTTTTTGGTATCGATGCTTTGCCGCGACTCTTTTTTCAGTACTCGGTATCGATACTTTGCCTCGATACTTCTAACACTACATATTAGAAACAACTAGTTGGTGATTCGTACTTGCAGAAGAAGGGTCCAAAGAACTGTTTTAGCCAGCGCCACTGAATCACTGTTTAATTTTTGTGTTTTTTGAATATTTAATTCAAAAGTTAGTTTGTTATTAATACATTTATGCAATATAACAAGTATATTATACGCATATTTGCAATAAAATTCAAACTATTTGTTCCTAATTTTGTTTCAAGCCGGTCCTTGCCATTAAGCATGAATAATCACGTTCGCACAATATGAGTAAAATGTGCAGAGTATATAGAATACTAATGAAAGCGATTAGTACAATCGCAAATATATAATATTTTGTTGCAAGTCAAAACTAGCAGTCGACTAGTGCCGAATTGTCTAAATGACAACGTGTCTCACAAAAGGTTCACCCATTCCGACGCGTCTGTCGACAGTGCCGTTTTTTTTTTCAGAAAAAACTTCAAACTCGGCAAAATACGAAATAGAAAAAAATAAAATATAATTGAAACTTTTCAGCATAGGAAAACAAAATAAGTCCTAAAACCTCTGCGTACAACGTGTTAAATAAGTTAATTCAAGTTGCACACCTTTCAGATAAGCGAAGAGCGTCTGCCAGTCAGCACCAGATTTCCTCCACGGTCTCGACAAGTGACTACAACCACTTCAGCTCCAGCAGATACTAGTTCTCCTTCATCCGCAAGCACAGAAGAACGAGGCAGAAGTCCAGTCCGCAGGCCGAGCCTTGAACTTGTTGACAGTGCGAGCTTCAAAACTCATGCTGGTGATGCTTCAGTATCTCAGTACAGAGATGCTGACAATCAACATAGCCGTGAAAATGCTGGAGTTGAAAAAGAAACTGCAGAAAATGATAAATTAAGTGCTTCTGCAACATCCGAAACCAACGTCGATCAAACAACTGAAGGAATCTTAGATGGTACAACGGATCCATCGTCCATGGATAAGGTAATTGACATAGATACTGGTTGACGTTGCGTCTATATATGAATAAAAATACGTAGAACTAAAAAATATCAGTTTCGTATTTGGTTCTACGTTTATTAGTCATATTTGATGGTAACTCATATCTGATCATAAATGAAGCAACATAGAATGTATAAATAAATTCCATTAGAAGTAGTCACATTTTATGATCAAGGGCTTAATAGATTTTCATAAAATATTTCAAGATCGCAAATGATTCATTATTATATTTCATAGGTTGCTCTTGATTTATACGCATATCTGGCAGGCGAAAACTTGAATGCTAACAGTGATTCAACAACTGAAAGTAACGATTCTACTACTGAAGGTAACGGTTCTGGCACAGAATACACAACATCAGACGAAGTCGAAATTACTACAACAACGACAGAACCAACAACAACCACCACCGAGCCCACGACTACTACCACTGAACCAACAACAACTGCATTACCAGCAGGTAATACAAAAAAAATCTTAACTAGCTGTAAGTGGAATTCTGTCTTAAGGCAATTAAGGCATCGTGCCTTAAGGCAAATTGCTGGAACTTCCCGTACCAAAAATTATTATTTTTTTAAAAACGATTAACATTTTTGAAAAAAAATTACTTTGAAAAAATAAGATTTTTGAGAAACTATAAATTGGACAAAAAATTACTTTTTTTTGGAAAAAAAATTAAAAAAAAAAAAAAAATAATAATTTTTTTTTGAAAAAAATTTTTTTTTCTTTATTTTAACATATTGTGAAAGATCTGAACTTTTTTCTCAAAGCAATCGTACTGGTTTAACTGCATAGGGACAAAATATAAAGCGCGTAAGCGCCGCATCGCTGTCTAACGCATAAGCATTGATACGGAACCCATAGGAATGTTAACAAAATGTATACTTATTGTTAGAATCTCTATAAAATATCTGATAATTTGATGTGCATATGTCTAATGATCATTTTTGACCGCCAAATGGCTCATTTTTTTACTTTTTCCTCCATATCTCCGAAACCGCTAGACCTACCTTCATGAAAATTTTATCGATTCTTCATCTTTTCAATACAAGTGAAATGTTTTTTGAATTATTCAAATCGGACGTTCCGTTCTCTTAAAAACTGAGTCACCGGTTTCGGCACTTTTTGCCCCGTATCTTCGCAACGGTCTTCCCGAAATCGTCGACGAAAATTTGTATCCGCACATACATACACACACACACATACATCCATTTTTTCTAATGTATGCCAAAATGTTCAGAAACCTCTGGAACGTAAAAATATATAAAAATTTTCATATTTGATTTTTTTGCGATTACTATAACTTGCCCTACGGCAAACGTAAAAATATAAAAACATATTGTGAGAAAACATCATTTTCCGAATGTTCAATCATTTGAAAACAAAAACATATCATTGTATAAATTTTAAAATAGTATCAAAAGAAAATAGAAAAAGAAAAAAATCATATACTACGATATGAACAATTTGGATTGGGATGAAAATGTATATACTTGATCTAATTATTATTAAAATTGTTTCTATACACCTAAGCATAATTGATACAGGTTATAAACAAATATTTTTATAAACAAATGATAAGAATTTGAAAAATTATTCATACGAAAAATGTTTGACCCAATGTCAATATTTTGAAGAATGATAGATATTGTATTATGATTGATTTAAATATTAATGTCATTTAGTGAGATTTAAATATTAATGTCATTTAGAGTACTTCTTATAACCAGTTTTTTTTAAACTACTTAACTTTTCAACATATTTCTTCTGGTTGCGCTTAGAAATATCTAAGCAAGATCTACTATGCCCAACATAAATGTTTTTTTATTTAATAGTTGCAACCTGTTTACTCAAATCGAGAGTTTATATTTTCCGTTACTGGTTTGTAAGACCACTGACACTATTTATTTTCAGTGATGGTCGTTACACTTACTGCTATTAATTAAATTTCATTTATTAAGTGAATCAGTAACATATTAATTACAATATATGGACAATTTGAGTTATTTAAAATTGAAATCATTGAATTATTTCTGAAGATTGTTATACTAGTTGAGATTTTTAATGAAATTTTTATTTTTATAAAAAAAATAGTAAATGATGCATATATATTTCAAGTAAGTATAAGGTCATGTGTTTTTGACAGGGTTAATCGAATAAGTATCTATTTAACAATGGCTCAAAATCAAAAGTAAATGCGTTTGAAGAAATTCGTATTAAGCATACTAAATATTTTGGGAAAAGCTAATAATATTTTGATAACATGAAATTTTTTTATTGTTTTTACAGGGACAATTAGCATAAATAACACCAGATTAAAAAATAGCAATTGTATGTTTTTTCTAAATGAAAATTCTCTTGGAACGTATTTTAGGCAGAAATAGGTTCCGTTTGCGTACAGGTGCGCGACCAGGTGGTAAAGTAACAACAACTACTACCACAACAGCAGCACCAGTGGAGGCCCCAAAAACAAAAAGCCGTTTCTCTCCAGTAGGACAACGTCCAGCATTTGGACGTGGCAGAACAACAGCAAAACCACATGCAGCATCCGTCGATGAGCCACTGGCCACAGCCGAAGAAGCTAAACCAGTCTCACATTCCAAACCATCAATAGGTATTAAATAGACAAAAAAAAATGTTTAAATGATCACGATATATGCAATCCCTTCGCATTACTAGGTCGCAACAGATTTAACTTACGAGGAAGAACAACAGCAGCTCCTAATGCAGAAAATGAATCCGACAAGGAAGCAACTCCCAGTGCTGTTTCATCTGGGCCTAAACTTACAAGGTACAGTACATACAAAGGGTACGTCGTCTTGCCATATAAAAGAGTGAAGCCCCTAGACAATATTAGAATAAAACTAATAGTGCATGGAATCCTGCCTTAAGGCAAATTGCTGGAACTTCCCGTACCAGAATTAAATATTCGAGGAAAAAATCATTATAATCAATAAATATTGATCAATAATTAATAACAATGGTTTAAAACATTTTCAAATAGATAACTATAATCACTATATATTGTATCGTTCACAAAATATACAGTGATGATCTTATCGCTCAAAATACTTGAGAAAGTTTACATTAGGAAGAGGTGCCGAAAAAATTCATCTGAGGAAATATTTCTTATGATTAGATTAACTCATATGAAATATACGTTTTCAAACTGAATTGTAAATTTAAAATTCATATTTACTTTGTATATTTTTGAAAATTTTGAAAAAAAAATCTGAATATTTTGAAATTTGCTTGAACCGTAAAAGTAAACTTTAAAAATTAACAATCTTGGTACGGAACCCAACAAAATTATAACAAAATTAGTACTCATTTTTTTAAATTTTTATCAAATATCAGATAATTCAATGTTCATATGTCTAATGGTCATTTTTGACCGCCAAATACCAACTTTTTTTTTACTTTTTTTTCTATATCTCCGAAACCGCTGGACCTGCCTTAACTAAATATGTATTGATATTATCTCAATATCTCGTAAATATTTTTTTTTATGTTTAGGCCTAGACCAGCATTTAGCATTAGAACCAGAGGAAGGCAAACACCAACGAGTACAACAACCGATGAAGAAACGCAAACAGATGAAAAGAAAGAAGGAAACCAAGAAGATGTGCCAGTAACACCAAAAACAGTCAGGTACCACATACATATAAGTACTAATAGGTAAGATGATTTTATTAACGCAAATGTGTTAATTGTTCTAATTTAGATCACGTTTGAATGGGCGACCTACCCGACCAAAACCACTTATCGGTGGAAAGAGCCGATCTACCGCCACTCCTGATTTGAATAAAGAAGAAACAATTGCTGATAGTGAACATGCAGCTTCTGAAGGCGAAGTAAGTTTTTAAATCTACAATGAAAACATGAATGTTCATTCGTCTATGCCGTCAAAAAACTTATAGTAATCGTAACGGAATTGAGTTGATTCATGATAGCTATACCTATAGCGATTGCATAAGATATTAAGTAAACCCTATAATTACTATCTAATATATAAGTAGGTTAATAGTTCACAGTATATATAAATTTTTTTTTACATATACAGCCTGTGCCAGAAACCACAACAGCTTCAGGCCTCAGCAAACTGCGCCAACGACCACGTTTGCAGGTGACTGCCCAAAAACCAAAACCACCAGCAACAAATCCATTAATCAATAATAGACGCTCAAATCCGCTGATTGCTCGGCGAAAATCACCCATCAAAGCAGCAGTAAATGAAGAAATTGCTGAAACCACAGAAACTTCAGCGGAAAACTCAGAGAAGCAGACCGAAACTGAAGTCGAAGCGAGCCCTGAAGAAACCACTGACGAAAAAAGTGAAAAACCCGAAGTGAGTAGCGAAGCACCGAGAGGGTTAAATGGACTTTTAGCAGGAAGAAGGAGATTAGCAGGCCGAAAGCCCGGTACAATATAATAAACCTAGTTTCTGAAAAAATGCTAAATATATGAAAGTGTGCTAGTTCGAAGATTTATTTCCGGTGGATTTAAGTCGTGAGAGATTTGTTTGAGTTTTTTACTTTTATTTAATAATTTTATTTTAGTGTACTGAATGCAAAACTTTACATAAATCTAGACAACAAAATTGTGCCGATAAATTGTTATTCTAAGGTGAAAAAAATATTTCATGTTATTTTGGGAACAAAAATTCCTGATACCCAGGCAATTATGCCAATATTTATGATTGTAGTTGTACTAAACAATTAATAAAAGTCGCAAACACATAATGCGAATAATATAGTAGAGTTATTATTATATTATCAATATATCTTTTTTTTCTCATTAGAAATTAGTAAAAACTTTCCGATGCAATGAAATCATATTTATCCACCACAGCTCATATGATTATTCAGTAAATATTGTCAATATTGTGTGAGAAATAATTATCAACGTTTATTAAGTACCCAGTTTTCAAAAATGTAATCACCAATAGAGAACTTATTCAAGCATGTGTTAAGATCTCCGAAAAGTTAACAGTTCAACAGTTTTGTTTGTTTGTTTATACATAATCTCCTCAGAAAATTCATCTCTCTCCTATAATTACACAAGTATATAATATTTCTTATCACATTGAGTTGAAGTAATGCATTAATCATATGCATATAGTGAAAAGCTTTTGCCAAAAATTAAGAGAGACTGCCTAATCTATAACTTAGCTTTTATTCCCATTTCTTACTGTGATAAAATAATGAACTATCTTAGTCAACCTTTCTTTCGAATGCTTTAATTATTAATGGAAGCCAACAATTATTATTCATTCAAGTTTAACTCATGCAATGCATGCAAACTGTAAATATATGCAAATTCTTCTAACCTTTAAAACAATTTTAATTAGATAAAGAAGTTTCTTTTTGTCTCATGCCATTCTTTTAAATACAACCTTGGACTTGTTACGATATTATCTGTTTATGTACAGTTCAGAAGCATTTGAAATAATTCTTGAGAAAATTTATCATCAAACTGTTATTAATGTTTGCACTACATATGATTAGTTCAGACACACTACAACGCTATATCTTTCTCAATTGTAATCTAATAATTCAGAATGTCACAGCCGGTAATCTCTAAGCAAATGACAAATGGATTTTAATATGAGAAATTTCTAAATAAATTTCAATTTTCATATATACTGCAATAAGGCATTCGATTTATTACTATTTCATTATGGTTTCTTGTAGAACAGTTTTCTAAAACATCCCTCATATATTCATTTGTACATAGTGCTTGCTAGCACTGCTGGCAAAAAAATATTTAACCATTGCATAAAAATGTTGTCTTCTTCAAGAAAATCCTTTACAGATAGTACATAATACTCCAATGGTTTTTCCAGCAGTTTCAAAATGCAAATATCGCCTTGCATTAATGCAATCCAAGATTAACTGCATATTCAAAATAACGATTTGACAAACTGCTGTAAACTACCTAGTCCTCACAGTAAATGTACCTATAATATTTCAGTTTATAATAATTTTAAAAATAATTGATAACATCAATGTTTTTACCTATTTTTGGAAAACAGCCATCATTCGAGTATTGTTCTTTGTTAAAAACATGTTTGCCAATTTCATGATTGCTGTATCAAATGATCCTAACCATCCTCACTATTGCTGTCAAAAAAAAAAAAATCCAGCAACTTTTGTATCATTCTTGCTGCATACTTGAAATTGTAATTCCAAGAAGTTTATATAAATACTTCTTTATATTGAAATGTAGAACAAATCAAATTTAATTGAAATATTTTTATTTCACTCCATTCTTTACAATCCTAGTTATATAATAAATTATAATCTTGTATATAAAAATAATTTTCTTTTATATCTAAATCTTACATATGTCTTCCACTTTCACTGGGATGTTTAATAAAGAAAAATGCCTAAATAATAATTTATAAATATGCTTGTGCTAGTAAAAACATTATTATTTGACTAATGATTTATATATGTCTTTATCATATATTTCTGACATCTTGTTTGGCTGCTTGAATCTGTGCTTTCTTAATTCGCTGTATTTGAGAATCATAATCTTGTGCTTTGTTATAAAGCAAAACTCCAAAAATAACAATAAGTGTACCTAAACCACTAAGTAATGTGACTGAATTACCAAATAGCACAACAGACATCCAAATCAGAAATGCTCTCTTGACAGTATTTGCAACACTGAAAATGATATACATAGTTTGTTTATCTTGAATACTTAAAAAGAAATGGTGAGTGGTGAATGAGAGTTCCATGCATATGAAGTGTACCATGTTTGTTCTAATTATAACCATAAATAAAGATGAACATTTGCAGTAATTTAAAACTATATTTGAAGAAAACACCAATAGATTTTTTTTTCATACTCACTCTCTTCAGAGTTAATAAAAAAAAAACTCGCATTTCAGAATTTCAACAAATTGTAGAACTTTTCAGTAGTTTAAAACGTACAAAAGCAATTTAATCTATTGCTTTCAAAAAAAAAGTTATTCATGATGGAATTCAAGAATGATAATGTGATTGCTTTCTATTTGGCTGGAAAACCACAAGTTGCTACCGTTAGAGCCGCCCTCCAGCACTAAATGTGATTAAATCTTTTGTTTCTCGTTTTCACTGCTCATTACCATGATACTACCATCCAAAACGTGGATGAAAGAAGCGGTAATACCACCAGAAAAGATCCGAAAAGTAAAAGCCAGAATTGATCGAAATCCACGCCGCAGTGCACAGTGGTCAAAAACACCGAAAAGCTGGCCAAAAGTGGCAATTTTTTTTTTCTACAATATTTTTTTCAATGAGAATATCTTAAGTGCAATTCGTGTGACTCATTTTTACTATGGTCATGGTCATCACGCGTCTGCTATCTTTGTAACTCACTCTTACAGTGAGCGTTGCATGTTCAACATCTCGTCTTCAAAATCTTATATGTAAAAATATTTTCTTTCAAAATATTCGATCTTATATTGGGTTATGCATTTTTTTTTTGTTTTTTACATGTGTGAAATTGAAGATAATTTTCTAAATTTTCGATAATAACACAAACTTTAAAATAGCCTCAAAAAAAAGTTCCATCGAGTTCCACTTATTGTTAAATTTTATTTTATTTTGTATTAGAAATATCTGTCCCAATAAGTATTGTAAAATTCAACTGTACAAAGTTGCACACTTTGCTTCGACCCAATCTTGTTATTTCATGATTTATTTTCAGTTAGAAGTAATGATTTTTTAGAAAGTAACGTATTTTACCGATAATAGTCCCTAATTTATCATATACATATTTTATTTTCAGTATAATCAATATCAAATTCGTAATCGCCAATCTCGAAAACTCTCGTACACTTTAAGGAACGTATAAGTTGTAATTTCTCAGAAATGTTCCGCCATTTTGTTTTTAGCAAACTGAATATCAAAATTGTGATCAGCAACCTCGAAATATAAATATAAACCCATATAAATTTTTGAAAGCATATAAGTGAATGAGCCGAAACCAAGACTTACTTTTTACCACGTCGAAATTGGTCAAAACTTAAAGTCATGGTAACGCAATATAGCAAAAAGAAAGGAGCCAAAGGCGATCACTACAAGGGCGATTATATGGTACTTTGATGATTGAATTAATCATTAGCATATGTGCATAACTTCAAAAGAGGTCTATTTTGACACTAAAGCAAAATGAAAATAATAATTAAACAATTACTATTATTAAACATTTCCCAATACTTTATGGACAGAATGTAAATATATATATATATATATATATATATATATATATATATATATATATATATGAGAATTAAGTCTTCCAGGCAATACATCAATTAAAAACTTGTATGATTTTAAAAGATTTTTATTTTTTCCATACGTTTCGACACATAGTTTTGTGTCATCTTCAGTGGACTATGTAATTGTAATAATCCTAATTATTTCCTAATTATAATTGTTCACAATGCCAATGAAACCAATTCTTGTCACTTTAAATTGAACAATATATATATATTTTAGAATGAGTTATTTTATGAATTTGTAAAATACATCCCACTATTCTGTATTCCGATGCAAGAGTCAACGGGATGTATTTTACAAATTCATAAAATAACTCATTCTAAAATATATATATATATATTGTTCAATTTAAAGTGACAAGAATTGGTTTCATTGTGCATTGTGAACAATTATAATTAGGAAATAATTAGGATTATTACAATTACATAGTCCACTGAAGATGACACAAAACTATGTGTCGAAACGTATGGAAAAAATAAAAATGTTTTAAAATCATACAAGTTTTTAATTGATGTATTGCCTTGAAGACTTAATGCTCACATATCTCAACATCAAAATTATAAAAATTTTAACATATATAT